TTGCTTCAGAATAAAGAGAAAAGTAGTGTCTCTTTCTTTCCATCTCATATAACAGTTGGAGGAGCATTGGTGTTAACCTTCTTTGAAAGTGTACTAGAATCCATCAGTGACTCCATCTGAACCTGGAGTTTTCTTGGTTGAGGAATTTTTAATTACTATTTCATCTTACTGCTTGTCATCAACCTGTTAAAATTGTTTAACTCTTCTTGGTTTAATTTTGGTAAGTCATATGCATCTAGGAATCAATTCATTTCTTTTAGTCTTTCCTATTGAGCAATTAAGAAAACTCCCACTCCTTGAATCTTCCTGGACCTGCTCCTTGAGTAGAGTGGACTTGCCCAGGAAGGAAGGACATGTGGCCAGCCATACCTCACTCTTGGTTCCCTCTCTGCCCTCTGCCCTCTGCCCTCTGCTTGAGGTGAGTGTGGGTTCTGCTCTTGCTCCAACTCCTTCCAGTAACCCCTCCTTGGATCTTCCTGGGTCTGTTGCTCACATAGAGTGGACCTGACCAGACAGAAAGGACCACCCTGAGTCTGGCCACACTTCACCCTTGGCACCTCCATCCACCCTCTGCACTCTGCTTGAGGTGAGTGTGGGTTCTTCTTGGGTTCTAACTCTGGGCATCACCCCTCCTTGGATTTTCCTGGGCCTGCTTGTCACGTAGAGTGGACCCTCCGAATCAGGAAGGACCACTCTGTGTCTGGCCACACCTCATCTTGCTCCCCACTCTACCCTCTGCCCTCTGGAAGAATACCAGAAGAGACCAGACCATCTAAAGTTGCAGACAGCGAGATCATGGCCCACATACACCAACAGAGATGGAGAGAACCTACCTGCACCCACTCAAAGAAAGAATGGAAAGACAATGGTATAAGGACACACTCAGCAATAGAAAGACCAATATGACACCACCAGAATCTAGAGACTCCACACCAGCAAGAACTGAAAAGCTCAACGCAGATGAAGCGGAAGAGATGGATCTTAAAAATTATTTCATGAAGACGATAGAGGCCCTTAAAAAGGAAATGAAAAAATCACTTAAAGAAATAGAAGAGAAAGCAAACAAAATATATGAAATGGGGGAAAAGAGAAACCAAAAAAATTCAGGAAATAAACCAATCTCTTAAAGAATCTAAAGAAAGTCAAGGAAAAACAACCAAAGAAGTGAAGGAAACAAACAGTTCAAGGCTTGAAAGCTGAAAAAGAAAAGAAAGAATAACAAATTCTGGCCATGATATGGAGTAATGAAACCCTTGTTCATGGCTGGTGGAATTGCAAACTGGTGTAGCTAATATTAAAAATGTTGTGGATGCAACTAATAATCTAGGCAGTGGTTGTGAGGCTGCCTTTGATACCTTTCCCCTATAATGAGATTGATAATGACTTTGGTTTCTATTCCTAGAGCTTTGACTCAGTAACTGATAGAAGCAGATACAGGCACCCACAGCTAAACACTGAGCCACACTCATGTAATCCAGTTGAGGAAAGGGAGAAGAGATGACCAAATGAACCAAGATGGAATTGGAGATTCCTGCAGAAACAATTGGCTTGACCTAATGAGAGCACGCAGACCCTAGTTATAAAGCAGGGGAACCAGAATTGGATCAAACCAAGTCTTCTGAATGTTGGTAACAGCTAGGGGGTCAAGGCAGGTTATAGAACCTCTAACAGTGGAGCCAGGGTTTATTTATAGGTCACAAATGGACTTTGGGAGCCCATTTCCTATGAAGGGATACTATTGCAGCCCAGATATGGAAAGGAGGGCTTGGGCCCTCCCCTAAATGATATGATAGACTTTGAATGATCTCCCATGGAGGGTCTCACTATCCCTCAGGAGTGACTGGTGGTAGGGTTGGGGGATCGGTGGGAAGCATGGGAGGTTGGCAGGACCAGGGAATGGGGAGATGGATATGTAAATAAGAGTGTTTCTAAAAATAATAAAAAAATTGTTGTGGATGTTTGTTTCTTAAACAAACAAACAAACTATTATAAATAGATTCACCATATGTCCAGATATATCAGTCCTAGGCATGTTTCCAAAGGACTATGTATTACCACAGACATATTTGCTTATTCATGTTCTTTCCAATTCTATTCACCATAGTCAAGAAATGGAAACAGTATAGATGTCCACTGATTGATAATAGGCAATAGAAACATGACACATTAATACAATAGAATTTATTCATCTATACAGGAAAATAATCACAAAAATTTCAGATCAATGGATGTATCTTGAAAACTTATTGTGTGATGTTTTCCTGAACCAGGTAGACTAACAGCACATATTCTTTCTATGGATAGATCCTAGCACTGAAGCTTTGGATTTGAGTGATTCACTTGGAACAACCATGGAAGCCTGGAAACTGGAATGGAGTCACTGTAGAAAGGGAAGTAAGATCTTAATGAAGGGTATTGTGGTTGATTTTAATGTCAACTGGCCACAAATGAGGCTCACTTGATATGGAGCCTCACCAGAAGTGTACTGGTTGCCTTAATGAACATTAAAAGATCCAACTAATTGCCAAGAGTAAGGCAGGGAAGGATCACTTGCCTTGTGCTGTCTTGACAATCCTTCAAACTGTGGGTTGATTTATCCTGTCTCTGCTGCTGGTTCTTTCACTGATATGAGAACAAGCATTGCCAGTCATATGATTCTGGATTAGTGATTCTCTTGGAAGCTTCCATGTTTTCTGTGCCAGTTGGGAACACAGAGGTACCCAGTCTTGTGACCAATGCAACTATATAGTTGTTGTTCTGCCTAGTGAGAGACAGCCACTGTGGAGCTGCTCTAACTGCTTAGGCACTCTTCTTCTTTTTTATTTTATTATTTTAATTTTAAATAGCTTGCTTCACATGTCAATCCCAGTTCCCTCTCCCTCCCTTCCTCCCGCACCCTCCCACCATACCCCCCCCAGCCTCCCACCCTATCCCCACTTCCTTCCACATAGGGGATATCTAGAGTCTGTCATTTCACTCAGGGCAGGGTCCAGGCATTCCCCTAAGAGTCCAGGCTGAGAGAGCATCCCTCTTTGTGTTATGGACACATGAAGTCCGTTAGTATGCCAGAGATAAACACTGATCCACTGCCCAGGACCCCCCTAGGTAGCCCAGGCCTCTTCACTGGCTCTCACACTCAGGGAGTCTGGATCAGTCCCATGCTGGCCTCCCAGCTGTTGGTCTGGGGTCCAAGAGCTCTCCCCTGTTCAGATCAGCTGTCTCTGCTGGTTTTGCCAGCCCTTTCTTTGCCAATTTTCTCATCACTCCTCTCTCTGTGTCACTGGACTCCATGGGTTCAGTTCAGTGTTTTAACTGTGGGTATTCACTTCTGCTTCCATCAGTCACTGGATGAAGGCTCCAGAATGGTTATAGACATCAAGTTCATTATCAAGAATGGGCATTTAAGGTGGTCTCTCCACTATTGCTTAGCTTGGAGTAACAACAGCTTCTCAGCCTCTCAGCTGGGCCTCAGATGTTGATACTATTTTAATGTACTCTGTCTTAATATAGTATTCCATATTATGTATATATTATAAATACATTCATTCCATTGATTCTCTTCCTCTATAGAACTTTAATGCCAAGGGGATAAGTAGAGGACAAGTGATATGAAGAGGCAAAAATGAATATTGTGGACAAGGAGGGAGTGAGGGAAGTAATAATTGAGGAAGTCTGAAAACATACTGTATTCTACTAATTTATGTGTGTTTAGGAAGTTTTACTGGAGTTACTATATGCAGTAATGAGTGGGTAATGCTCATTCAAGAAGACATAGCTTATTGTGTTAGTCAAAGTTCTGTAGAGTCACAGAACTTATGGAATGTATGTTTCTATATAAAGGGGAGTTATTGGGATGACTTACAGGCTGCAGTCCAGATAATTCACCTATGACATTCTGTGAATGGAAAGTCCAAAGAATCTAGCTGTTCAGTCCAACAAGGCTGGATGTCTTCTCTGGTCATATGTATAGACTGGAATCCCAAAGTAGTAGATTCCAATGCCAGTGAAGGAATGGATGTGCTAGCAAGGGGAGGGCTTGATAACGAACAAAAGCTTCCTTCTTCTATGTCCTTACACAAAGATCCAGAAGAATGGCCCAAATTACAGGCTCTTGCCTTCCTACTTCAAAGGTCCAGACTAGAAGTGAATTCACACATTTCAACCCCAGCATAAAAATATATTCTGAGTCTAGCTTAGCAAATGAGTGAATTTATTGGGGTGAGGGTTGCTTATGGGAATGTAGATCACTCAGAGGCAATTCCCACTGAAAATCCCACTTAAACAAGGCAATGACTCACCATAGCTGCAGTTATGGGGCCCCTCTCATGATTTACATGTACCTCTGCTCCTCTGAAATCCCCATTACTGCAGAATGCTTTTTGCTTATATAACCTTGAGGATATCTTCATGAACCTGTTATGTTACTGTACTTTCTGAGACATGTGATTTTTATTTACCTCCTGAGTGTTATTTTATGTTTAAAATGTGTCTCTGCATGGAGAGCACATGTTTACATGTGTGTGGACATGTCAGAGTATGTTGTGCCTCCACTTCTGTTACTTTCTACTTTAGTCAGCATGGCAGGGTCTCTCAACTGAATCCCGAGCTTGTAGATCTCCACAGTCTAGGAAGCCGGTTTCTCCATGGTTTCACTGCTCATGGTCTGAATGTGGAAGTACAAGGTGGTTGCAACACCCACTCAGCATTCATGTTGGTTCTGTAAATTGAGCTCTGCCCCTCATACATCCACGACAAGTGATTTATGTACTGAGTATAGAGCCCCCAGCTTCCTGGATTTTCACTGAAATATTTTGATTTGGAGGAAATAGCTACAGAACACCTATTCATATCTTTTGTATGTGTGTGCTTGAACATATTTGGTTGTTGTATATGGGCATGTGTTCATTCATATGTGTGTGTGTGTCTGTGTGTGTGTGTCTGTGTGTGTGTGTGTGTGTGTGTGTGTGTGTGTGTGTATTCAAACATACAGTTAGGGTTGAAAGAAAGAGAGAGAATTAGAGAGGTGAAGAGGTACTTGGGATGTTCAACTCTGACATATTAAGAAGCATGGTCCATATCTTTTGGTTTTCCCATGGTGGAAGTGGATTGGCTAGTGTAAAGAAAATATACCAGAGGGGGAGATTTATGTAATGATTCCTGGTGTTAACCATTGATGTCATGATGGTCAGTACCTGTGGGTGAGGTGAGTTTGCACTAATGTCTTGAATATATTTCTCTAAGGAGAACTTTGGCATCTTCTGTCACTGTGTCAAGGAAGAGATGATGCAAGGAAAAGGTTTTCCTAGCATAAAAATCTACACTATGGAGCCCACCCGTAGCAAAGCGTAATTTCTTGATATATCCCCACAACATTTCTCCTAATGTTTCTTCTTTCTTAGTTTCCAACAAATAAGGAGACTTAATTACTTTTTTCAGTTGTTGAACAGGCACTTGGGATTTCTTAGACATGACTCTCAGGGATTCATCATCCACTCCAAAGAGGACTCGATAGTGGTTTAGCTTCACCTTCAGATTCTCCACATCATCCCTGAAGAAGCCCACGAAAGGGAGCACAGCCAGAGATCCATCCTTGAAGGCTTCCAGCCAGATAGTCTTCTGTATGGACTTGCGCATTCTGTCAATGATTTCCTCTGTAATATTATTCATGGAAAGTGTAAATTTGTGGTGCTTTTGAGCAGGAAGATCCTTTATCAGGGTGTCCATCAGGCATGGAAAATCATAGTCAGATAAATAATGGTTAGAAATCAAGAAGATCTGTGGTGCATCCATGTTATTCTGACTAAATTTATCCACATAGGAGATTCGCATCTCCTCCAGGATCTTTTCTTTGTCAAACATACATGGCTTAAATTTCTTTTGGTTTTCTAAATCAACGTCCACCTTGGTTCTCACAAAGTAGTAATTCTTTTCCATTAAGCTGATTGCTTTGGCAAGTTCTAGTTCAAGTTTTGTAAAACTTGTGGCAGAAACAATAATGAAGAAGTCATACTCTTGGAATTGCACTTTCTCCAGATAATCCTTTGGCGGAAACCCGATAGTTCCAATGCCAGGCAGGTCCCATAGAGTCAAAGTTTTAGTGTTGGGGTGTTTGTATGGAGTTCTCTTCATAGTTGTCTCTACTACTCCAACTTGAGTTGCACCTTTGTCCTCAGTCCCACCTCCCCTCAGGGCATTGATGAAGCTGGACTTCCCTGCCCCAGGCTCTCCTGTCACAGCAATGTTTATTGGGGCACTATCAATATTTTTCAATGCATCACTGATTACTGAGTTTGCCCCCAGAATGTTTCCCTTTTTCAGCTGATATTCTATTAAACGGATGGTTTCCTCAGAAATGATTTTTTCTGTCTTAACCTTCTTACAATATGCCGTGAAACTGGACTCCAGATATCCATAGTCTTCATCCTTAGCTGTATCAGAGGAGGATTGACCCATGGCTGTGTTGAAAAATGGCCCTAAAAGATGGAAGGGAGAATGAGTTGCAAGATATTGTAGATGCCTTTGTGCTTAGCACTGTCTTCTCTGTGCTGCAGCATTAGCTATGCATTAACTATGTTGTGATGTTAAGTAGTTTCCATGTGTTTGTGTTTTCTATTTTCTGTCAATAAGATAGAAGCTATAGTCCTTCTGGAGGAGTAAACCTCATTTGAGGAATTGCCTTCATCAGATTAGATTGGGTGGATGCCTATGTTTAATTTTCTGTACTGAGTAATTTTTGGGAGGTTCCAGGCCACTCCCGCACCAGGTGATTCTGGTTAGTTTAAGTAAGCATTAATAAACTGTAGTTGGACTTTTTCATCATCACCAGTTTCCCAATTATAACATGGAGACTTATTATTAATTAGAAAAGATCAGCTGATAGCTTAGGCTTATTTCTAACTGGCTATTATAACTTAAATTAATTCATACCTTTTTATCTATATTTTTTAAATTATTTTTAGGTTTTTATTTTATTTTCTATTTATTTTTTTAGTTTTTAAATTTTAAATCAGAAACATTCTTGCTTCACATGTCAATCTCAGCTACCTCTTCCTCTCCTCCCCCACCCCCTGCCTCCCCAGCTCCCCTAGTCCCCCACCCAATCCAAATTCCGTTCCCAATGGAGGGTCAGGCCCCCTCCGTGGCAGAGCTGCAGAGTCTGTCACTTCATTCAGGGCAGGGCCTAGGCCCTCTCCCCAAGAGTCCAGGCTGAGAGAGCATCCCTCATTGTCAGATGGGCACCCAAAGACCTTTTGTATGCCATGGATAAATACTGATCTATTACCCAATGTCCCACAGATTACCTAGGCCTCCTCACTGACACTCACATTCTGGGGGTCTGGATCAGTCCCATGCTGGCATCTCAGCCATCAATCTGGGGTCCAAGAGCTCCCCCTTGCTTAGGTTTTACCAGCCCTGGTCTTGACCCCTTTGCTCATCACTCCTCTTTCTCTGTCACTGGATTCCAGGAGTTCAGTACAGAGTTAAGATGTGGGTGTCTGCCTCTGATTCCATCAGTCACTCCATGAAGGTTCTAGAATGGCATACAAGGTAGTTTTCAAACTCATTATCAGGGAGATGCGTTTAAGGAAGTATCTCCACTATTCCTTAGTTTGTCATTTGGTGTCAGTCTTGTAGATCTATGTAAATCTCACTAGTGCCAGATCTCTCCTCAAACCTATAATGACTCCCTCTATTATGGTATCTCTCATCCTGATCTCCTCTATTCTGCCCCTGACTCATCCTTCCTGCTTCCCCATGTCCTGTTCTCCCTTCCTCTTCTCCCCATCTCTTTTTCCCAGCTCCATCTTCCCTCCCTCCATGCTTCCAATCTGTGCAGAAGATCTTGCCTCATTCCCCTTCTCTGGAGTACCATACATATCTCTCTCAGGGTTCTTCCTGTTACCCAGACTCTCGCTGGGGGATTGTAGGCTGGCACTCCCCTGATCCATGTCTAAAATCCACATGTGAGTGAGCACATACCATGTTTGTCTTTTTGTGACTGGATTACTTCACTCAGGATGGTTTCTTCTAGTGCCATCCATTTGCCTGCAATTTTCAAGATTCCATTGTTTTTTTTCTGCTGAGTAGTACTCCACTGTAAATGTACCACATTTTCTCTATCCACTCTTCAGTTGAGGGACATTAGTTTGCTTCTAGGTTATGAATATTATGAATAATGCTTCTACGAACATAGTAGAATAGACATCCTTGTTGCATGAATGTGCATCTTTTGGGTATATGCCTAAGAATGGAATTGCTGGGTCTTGTGGTAGACTGATTCCCATTTTCCTGAGGAGTCTCCATACTGATTTCCAAAGTGGTTGTGCCTGTTGTCATTCCCACCAGCAGTGAAAGAGTGTTCCCCTTTCTCCACATCCTCTCCAGCATAAGCTGTAATTGGTGTTTTTTATTTTAGTCATTCTGATAGGAGTAAGATGGCATCTCAGAGTTGTTTTGATTTGCATTTCCGGGATGGCTAGGTATGTTGAGCACTTTAAGTGTCTCTCAGCCATTTTAGACTCCTCTATTGAGAATTTTCTATTTAGTTCTGTACTCCAATTTTTACTTGGATACTTTGGTGTTTTGGAGACTTGCTTCTTGAGTTCTTTGTATATTTTAGAGATCAGCCCTCTGTCAGACATAGGTATAGTGAATATCTTCTCCCATTTTGTGAGCTGCCGTTTAGTCTTGATGATTGTGTCTTTTGCCTTACAGAAAGTTCTCAGTTTCAGGAAGTTCCACTTATTAATTGTAGATCCCCATGTCTGTGCTACTAGTTTTATGTTCAGGAAGTGGTCTGCTGTGCCAATTTGTTCAAGGGTACTTCCCACTTTCTCTTCGAAGAGGTTCAGTGTGACTGGATTTATGTTTAGGTCTTTGATTGATTTGGACTTAAGTTTTGTGCATGGCAATAGATATGGATCTATCTGCAATCTTCTACATGTCCACATCCTGTTATGTCAGCATCGTTTGCTGAAGATGCTTTCTTTTTTTATTGTATAGATTTAGTTTCTTTGTCAAAGATCAGGTATTTATAGTTGTGTGGGTTAATAACAGGGTCTTCATTTCAATTCCATTGGTCTCCCTGTCTGTTTTTTGTGCCAACACAAAGTGGTTTTCATTAATATAATTGTATAGTAGAGCTGATGTTAGCAATCACGATGCCTTCTGAAGTTCCTTTATTGTACAGGGATGTTTTGGCTATCCTAGGTCTTTTATTTTTCCATATAAAGTTGAGTATTGGTCTTTCAAGGTTTGTGAAGAATTGTATTAGGAGTTTGCTGGGTATTGCACTGAATCTGTAGATTGTTTCTGGCAAGATTGCCATTTTTACTATGCTGATCCTATCCATCGAAGAGCATGGGAGATCTTTCCATTTTCTGGTATCTTCAATTTCTTTCTTTAATGACTCAAAGTTCTTGTCAGACAGGTTGTAGTAGTTACAGTTACTCCATGATATTTTATGTTGTTTGTGACTATTGTAAAGAGTGGGAGTGCCAGCCTACAATCCTATGGCCAGAGAGTCTGGGAAACAAAAACTTTATTTAGTGGCTGATCGAAGAAGAGGCAGACTCCCTTGGTTAAGTACTGAGCTGAACTCAAGAAAGCCAGTAACAGAGAGGGAGGACTGATGATCAAAGGGATTAAGACTGGGCTGGTTTAACCCCCAGAAACAGCTGATCAGACAAAGGTTAACTCTTGAATCCCAGGCATTAGCCTGGGAAGCCAGCATGGGACTGATCAAGACCCCCTGAATCTGGGTGTCAGTGAAGAGGCCTAGGGAATCTACTGAGCCTTGGGCAGCAGATCAGTACCCATCCCAAGTATACACACAGACTTTGGACTCCCATAGAACAATGTGAGGTGCACTCTCACCCTGAACTCTTGGGGAAGGGTCTAGGCCCTGCCCTATATGAAATGACACACTATGCACACCCCCATGGAGGGCCTCACCCTCCCTGGAGAAATGAGGGGATAACGAGGGGGGGGAGGGCACGGGAGGAAGGGAGGGAATGGGAGAGGGACCTGGATCTGACTTGTGAAGCAACCTTGTTTCTTATCTAAATTTAAACTGGAAAATAAAATTAAAAAAAAAGAGTGATTTGTTTCTCAGCCCTTTTACTGTCTACAAATAGCAGGGATACTGATTTTTTGAGTTAATCTTTTATTCTGCCAGTCTGCTGAGGGTGTTTATCAGCTGTAGGAGTTCCCTGGTAGAATTATTTGTGTCACTTATGCAAAGCATCATATCATCTGCAAATAGTGAAAGTTTGACTTCTTCCTTTTTCAATTTGTATCCCCTTCATCTCCATTTGTTGTCTTATTGCTGTATCAAGAAATTCAAGTGCAATATTGAAGAGATATGAAGAGTGTAAACAACCTTGTCTTGTTCTGATTTTAGAGGAACAGTATTGAGTTTCTCTCCATTTAGTCTGATGTTGGCTCTTTGTTTGATGTATAGTACCTTCATTATGTTTAGGTATATTCCTGTTATGCCTGATCTCTCCAAGACCTTTATCATGAATGGGTGTTGAATTTTGTCAATGGTTTTTTAGCATCTCATGAGATGATCATGTGGTTTTTCTTTTTCAGATTGTTTATATGTTAGATTACAGTGATGGATTTTTGTATGTTGCAACATCCCTTCATTCCTGGGATGAAGCCTACTTGATCATGGAGGATGATTTTTCTGATGTGTTCTTGGATTTGATTTGCCATATTTTATTGAGTATTTTCCCATCAATGATAATGGAGGAGATTGTTCCGTAGTTCTCTACCTTAGTAGTGTTTTTGTGTGATTTGGGTACTAAGGTAATTGTAGCCTGGTACAAAGAGTTTGGCAATGATCTTTCTGCTTCTATTGTTTGGAACAATTGGAAGAGTATTGGTATTAGTCTTCCTTGAATTTTGGGTAGAATTCTGCACTGAAACCATTTGGCTATGGGCTTTTTTTTTTTTGGTTGGGAAAGTACTTATGACTGCTTCTATTTCCTTGGGGATTATAGGCCTATTTAAATTGTTTATCTGTTCTTGATTTCATTTTGTATGTGGTACCTATCCAGAAAATTGTCCATTTCTTTGAAATTTTCAAATTTGTAAAGTACAGAAATTCAAAGTATAACCTGATGATTCTCTGGATTTCCTCAGTGTCCATTGTTCTGTATTCCCTTTCTTTTCAGATTTTGCTAATTTACATAATCTCTATCTTCCTTTTTGTTATTTTCGATAAGGATTTGTTAACTCATTGATTTTCTAAAGAATCAACTCTTTGTTTCATTGATTCCTTGTATTGTTCTCTTTGTTTCCATTTCATTGATTTCAGCCATCAATTTGATTACTTGCTGATGTCTACTCCTCCTGGGTGAGTTTGCTTTTTTGTTCTAGAGCTTTTGGGTGTGTTGTTAAGTCATTAGTGTCAGATTTCTCCACGTTCTTCATGTAGGCACTTAGTGCTATGAACTTTCCTCTTAGCACTGCTTTCATAATTTCCCATATGTTTGGATATTTTGTGCTTTCATTTTTGTTGAATTTTTGGAAGTCTTTAATTTCTTTTTTTAATTCTTCCTTGACACAGGGAAGATTCAGTTGGGCATTGTTCAATTTTCATGAGTTTGTAGGCTTTTTGCAATTATTGTTGCTGAATTCTAGCTTTAAACCATGGTAATCTGATAAGATACAGGGGATTATTCCATATTTTTTATTTCTATTGAGGTTTGATTTGTTAATGAGTATGTGGTCAATTTCAGAGAAGGTTACATGAGGTACAGAGAAGAAGATATATTCCTATGTGTTTGGGTTGAATGTTCTGTGGATGTCTTTTAAATCCATTTGAGTCATAAGATCTGTTGGTTCCATTATTTTCTGTTTAGTTTCATTCTGGCAGATATGCCAATGGTAACTGTGGGATGTTGAAGTTCCCAACTATTAGTGTGTGTGGTTTGATGTATGATTTAGCTTTAGTAATATTTCTCTTACAGATGGTGGTTCACTTGTATTTGCGGCACAGATGTTCAGATTTAAGACTTTATCTTGATTGATTTTTCTTGTGATGAATATGAAATGTCCTTCTCCATCTGTTTTCATTAATTTTAGTTTGAATTCTATTTTGTTAGATTTTAGAATAGCTACACCTGCTTTTTTCTTACATTCACTAGATTGGAAAATCTTTTCCCAACCCTTTACTCTGAGATAATGTCTATCTTTGAGATACAGGTGTGTTGTTTCTGTATCCATTTTGTTAGCCTGTGTCATTTATAGGTGAATTGAGACCATTAATATTAATAGATATTTATGACCAGTAATTGTTGATTCATGGTGTATTTGGATTTATTGATGCTGCTGGCAGTGTTTGTATCCCTTCTTTGGGGTTTGTTGATATGAGGGTATCTTTTGCCCATGTATAGCTAACTTCTTTGGGTTGGAGTTTTCCTTCTAGAACTTTTTTGTAGAGCTGGATTTGTGGGTTTGTTTAAATCTGTTTTGTCATGGAGTATCAAATTTTCTCCATCTGTGGTGATTGAAAGCTTTGCGTGGTGTAGTTGTTGGGACTGGCATCTTTGGTCTCTTAGTGTCTGTAGAATGTCTGTCCAGGGCCTTCTGGCTTCACTGAGAATTCGATGTTATCTTATGGGACTGCATTTATAAGTTACTTGACCTTTTTCCTTTGTAGCTCTTTGTATTCTTTCTTTATTTTGTATATTCAGTATTTTGATTATTATATGGCAAGGGAACTTTTTTTTCTTTTGTCCAGTCTCCTTGGAGTTCTCTGTAAGCTTCTTGTACTTTTACAGGCACATTATTCTAAAGATATTTTTCTATGATCTTGTTGAATATATTTTCTGTGCTTTTAAACTGTGATACTTTCCTTCTTCTATTCCTATGGTTATTAGGCTTGGTCTTTTGATGGTGTTCCAGGTTTCTTGAATGGTTTGTATTAGGTATTTCTTCGAGTTAGCATTTTTTTTAACTGATGAATCTATTTCTTCTATTGTATCTTCAGTGGATGAGATTTTCTCCTCCATCTGTTACACTGTTTGTTATGCTTGCATCTGTAGTTCCTGATTGTTTAACCAGATTTTCTATTTCCAGAGATGCATCAGTTTGTATTTTTTTATCGCCTCTATTTCAATTTCAATGTCTTAGACTGTTCCCTTCATGTGTTTTTTTCTTGGCTTTCTTCATGGAATTTATTAATTTCTTCCAATTTTTTGTTTGTCTTTTTTCCATTTCTTTAAGGGAATTTTTCACTTCCTCTTTAAGGACCTCTTTCATCATCATAAAGTTATTTAAAAGATCATTTTCTTCTGTTCTTTCTGCGTTGGGCTGCTCAGGTCTTGCTGTTGTAGAACCACTAGCTCAGGTCTTGCTGTTGTAGAACTACTAGTTTCTGATGCTGCCATATTGCTCTTTATGTTGTTGAATGCATCCTTACACGGTCATCTACTCATCTCTTCCTCCAGTTGGGGCAGGTGGGGTCTGTGGCTCTGGTGGTCACTTTTCCTCCAGGAATAGGTAGGATGTGTGGTTTCTTAGTTGCTGATGCAACAGAGGACTGTTGGGTGAGGAACAGGAAGGATGTTTTTGACTAGTGATTGGGCCTGTGGTTGCTGATTTGGGCCATGGGATATGTCCCTGTGGGATAGGGCCTAGAAAGCAGGGTTATCCAGTTGGGAGCTCAGACACACCTCTTCCTTCAGGTATAGGTGGGGAGTATCTCTTTAGCTTTTTATTAAACTAATCAGAAAATGACTTGTAAATACATATCTTCACAGTATACAAAAAGATTTTTCATAGCATTGAACTACGGGGAGCAAGCCAGTAAACAGCATTCTCCCATTATTCCTGCCTCTATTTCTATAGAGTTTATGCCCTGATTTCCACAGAGATGTGAGAAGACTGTGGAAACCTCAAAAATCATTGTCTTTAAAAACACTGTTGGTTACAATATTTATCACAACAGGAGATAGGAAACTAGAACACATATGTACTAGCTCTCAATTAAGCCCCTCATTATGGAAAAATTAAAATATAAGTAAGGGAAAATAAAGTAAAATCTGCATGTGTCCTTTAGGCAGCATCAACAAGTATAAAATAAAAATAAGAGCAATTGTGTTCCATCTAACCTAAATGCTGTATTGTTTATCAAGTCCAAGATATTGTCTCCATCTGTGCACACTTTCTTCAGCGTGTAGCTTCGAATGAATGGAAACTTAACATAGTCTAGCTTTGTACACCAAGAAATCAATAACAATGAATGATAATTGACTTTAGTGTTTAATTGACACCAGTATCTAATTATTACTTAAATCTATTGTGTGTGTCATTTATGATTTCAAAATATTTCAGGAAGTTCAGCTATTGTGTTTTGTTTAAATCATTCCCCAATCCCATATAGAATGCATGTGCTTGCAGATCACTGTAAATATGTTATTCAGGAAGTAGAGCCATTAGGGTCAGTACTTCAAGATAATTCTTGGTACATAGTGAGTTAGAGGGTAACCTGGGCTACTTGAGACCCTGTATCAAAAAAAATAGTATCAAGTCCAGTAAGATGTCGCAGCAGGTAGATACACTTGCTGACAGGCCTAAGGAACTGCGTTTGATTGTTGAGTATTTACTTAATTCAGATTTCATATTCCTAACTTTATTGGGCAGCACATTGGACGTCACCATTAGTTAAGGAAACAACAAATCCCCACTGTCACCCTGGAGCCTCCTCTGTCTGTCTTACCCATGTCAAATTAGTTCACAGACGTTCAATCGCAATTGATCATTCCATCTACATCATCTTCTTCAAGATCTCCTGAATCCCCTAAGTAGAGCTATTCTTCTTCAAATATTCATCACTCTTGATATTTACATATGTACGTACACACACACACACACACACACACACACACACACGTGCGCACGCAAGGAACATACTATTAAGAGTTGTTGGTAATGGTTTAGATGGTAGTGGTGGTGTGGTAATAAGACTTATTTTATGCCATATTTCTTATATGTACCATAATCATGTGGTCCTCAAAGATAGTACATGAGGTGGCTAATGTTATTACTAATACCAGGCAGATAAAAAAAAAAGATCTCCTGAATCCCACCTTTGATGTCATTGACATTACTATACTTTCTGTGACCTTGCAATAACATTGCTGATTTAACTGCCAGAGTCATCCTATTGACATTGAAGACATGCCATGTCAATTCTGAGAAGTACAATAAGCATTCCCATTTCAGTCAATGACTGTTCATTAGGTATACAGTGCACACACTCTATACAATAAGCCTTTGAAATTTATTATTACATGTTTGAACCTGATGGTGTTTGAATTGCAGCCTCCCTGTTATATCAGGCTGTCTTTTCATCTCAGGACTTCATACTTAGCAACTGATTCCATTCTTTGTGCCCTTCCCCAGTAGCCACATGGCTATTAATCACTGGGACATAAATTTGTGCCTGCCTCTGCCATTCACTATCTTTTATTATGTTTCAGATACAGCAACATTATACACACCGAAGATATATTCCATTTCCTGAATCATCTATTTATAACCATTTGCGGGAGAGGAATAAGAGACAAGCACAAAAAAATTGGATTTTTTTGTACCAAAACCTGTATCAGCATCATTTGAGTTTAGTTGTATCTCATCTTTCATAATTGGCTAAGACCATCCACAAGGCTGTCCTGCCTGCCTCCCATCGAAGATCCTCAGCTTCCAACCTGAGGATCCTTACTCTCATGGCATTTTTCTAAATGTCTTGTTATGTATCAGTTTTCATGAGAATGAGATGGTGAGTGTTTGAAGTTAGACGTGACTGCTCCTGCCCACTTACCAGATTATCCTGCGTCTGGTGTCTGCGTTCACTGTGGTTCAGCTGCAGGAACCATGCTCCTGTGTGCTTCAGTCTCTTCACTTGCAACCCACCTCTGCTTCTGTGGAAAAGCAGCAGGATGGAGGCAGTTGGTCAGGATTTATGCACTCTTCTGAATCTGGTCCTTCCCTCTCCGTGTGTTTTGGCCAATCATTAAAGCATATGGGTCTTGTTTTTCAGAATCTCCTGCATTTCCAAGAAGAAGAAAGAGAAATTGAAAGTGTTGACTTTTATAATCTGTCATCTCTTCATTTCTTGGTGGAAAAGATAAGAAATAATAAAGGAGTGGCATGTGTGGTTTGGAAAATGGAACATGGAGAACCAGCTTACTGGACACGCAGGAAAAGGATCCTTGAAAGATAATTTTTCTGATTGCTGACTTAAGAAATGCAGCCTGAAATGATGACACAGCACATTGTTTGGGTCCTGTGCATATGTCAATTTTAGTTTCATCTAAGACAAAACTCATTTTATTTCTGTCTGACTACAAACCTATATTCTCATGATTGGAAATTCATGTTCATTAATTCCTGTCATTCTCAACTCCTCTGCCTATTCTTTCTATGGAGCTTGGGCTTGACAGGTCTTACAGGTGCTGTCACAACCCTGGTGAGTTCATATGTGGAACTGCCCTACTGTGTCCACAAGACATTGTTTCCCTGCTATTGTCCACCAACTCTGGCTCTGACAGTCTTCTTCAGCCCTCTTCCCTGCTCCAGACTCTCCTGTCACAGCAATGCTTATTGGGATGTTATCAGTTTTTTTTTTTTTTTTGGTTTTTCAAGACAGGGTTTCTCTGTATTGTTTTGGAGGCTGTCGGTCCAGCCTGGCCTCAAACTCACAGAGATCCGCCTGCCTCTGCCTCCCGAGTGCTAGGATTAAAGGCGTGCGCCACCATCGCCCGGCATTTTTGTTGTTGTTGTTGTTGTTATCAGTTTTTTTAAAGCATCAGTGATTTCACAGTTTGTCTCCAGAATGTCTCCTTTTGTCAGGTGTAACTCAATTGAACAGATGGTTTCCAGAGGAATGATTGTGTTTTCTGTCTTAATCTTCTTATATTAAGAAGTGAAGCTGGACTCCATATCTCCATTATCTTCTTTCTTAGCTGTATCAAAGAAGGCCTGACCCATGGTTCTGTTGGAAGAGTGCCCTGGAAGAAGGAAGGGAGAGTAAGTTGAAAGAGACTGAAGATACCTTTGTGCTTAGCACTGCATTCTCTATGCTATAGTCTTACTTATGTTCTGAAGTTTCCTTTTGTGACTGGGTTACCTCAATCTTCTTCTAGTGTTATCCATTTGCCTGCAAATTTCAAGATTCCATTTTTTTTCTGCTGAGTAGTACTCCATTGTGTAAATGTACCACATTTTCTCTATCCACTCTTCAGTTGAGGGGCATCTAGGTTGCTTCCAGGTTCTGACTATTACAAATAATGCTGCTATGAACATAGTGGAACAGATTCCTTGATGTATTAATGGGCATCTTTTGGGTATATGCCTAAGAGTGGAATTTCTGGGTCTTGCAGTAGACTGATTCCCATTTTCCTGAGGAATCTCCATACTGATTTCCAAAGTGGGTGTACGAGTTGGTACTCCCACCAGCAGTGGAAGAGTGTTCTCCTTTCTCCACATCCTCTCCAGCATAAATTGTTTTCGGTGTTTTTGATTTTAGCCGTTCCGACTGGAGTAGATGGTATCTCAGAGTTGTTTTGATTTGCAATTCCCTGATGGCTAAGGATGTTGAGCACTTTCTTAAGTGTCTTTCAGCCATTTTAGACTTCCCTATTGAGAATTCTCTGTTTATTCTGTACCCCACTTTTTGTTTGGATCTTTTGGTGTTTTGGAGCCTTGCTTCTTGAGTTCTTTGTAAATTTTGGAGATCAGCCCTCTTTCAGATGTGGGTTAGTGAATATCTTTTCCCATTCTGTGGGCTGCCTTTTTGTCTTGTTGACTGTGTCCTTTGCCTTATAGAAGCTTCTCAGTTTCACGAGGTCCCATTTGTTAATTGTCGATCTCAGTGTCTGTGCTACTAGTGTTATATTCAGGAAGCAGTCTCCTGTACCAATTTGTTAAAGAGAATCTTCAAATTTCTCTTCTAAGATTTTCAGTGTGCTTTGATTTATGTTGAGATCTTTGATCCATTTGGACTTAAGTTTTGTGCATGGTGATAGATGTGGATCTATCTGCAATCTCCTGTATGAAAATATCCAGTTATGCCAGCACCATTTGTTAAAGTGCTTTTTTCCCATTGTATAATTTTAGCTTCTTTGTCAAAAAGTCAAGTATTTGTAGGTATGTAGGTTAAAATCAGGGTTTTCAATTCGATTCCATTGTTCTACTTGTGTATTTTTGTGCCAATACCAAGTTGTTTTCAGAACTATAGCTCTGTAATAGAGCTTGAAGTCGGGTATGGTGATGCCTCCTAAAGTTTCTTTATTGTATAGGGTTGTTTTGGCTATCCTGGGTCTTTTTTTCATATAAAGTAGATTATTGTTCTTTCAAGGTCTGTGAAGAATTGTGAAGGAATTTTGATAGGGATTGCATTGAATCTGTAGATTGCTTTTGGCAAGATTGCCATTTTTATTATGTTGATCCTATCAATCCAAGAGCATGGGATATCATTCCATTTTCTGGTATCCTCTTTGATTTTTTTCTTTAGAGACTCTAAGTTCTTGATATACAGATCTTTCACTTCTTTTGTTAATGTTATCCCCAAATATTTGATGCTGTTTATGGCTATTGTAAAGGGTGATGTTTCTCTGATTTCTTTCTCAGCCACTTTATCATCTGTATATAATAGGGATACTGAGTTTTTGAGTTAACCTTGTATCCTACCCCTTTGCTGAAGGTGTTTATCAGCTATAGGAGTTCTCTTGCAGAGTTTTTCAGGTCACTTATGTAAACTATCATATCATCTGCAAATAGTGAAAGCTTGACTTATTCTTTTCCCATTTGTTCCTCTTGATCTCCTTTTGTTGTCTTATTGCTCTAGCTAGAACTTCAAGTACAATATTGAAAAGATATGGATAGAGTGGACAATCTTGTGTTGAGTTTCTCTTCTTTTTGTTTGATGTTCGCTGTTGGTTTACTGTATATTAGTCTTATTATGTTCAGGTATGTTCCTGTTATCCCTGATCTCTCTAGGACCTTTATCGTGAAGGGGTGCTGGATTTTGTCAAAGGCTTTTTCAGCATCTAGTGAGATGATCATGGAGTTTTTCATTCACAATTTGTTTATATGGTGGATTACACTGATAGATTTTCTAATGTTGAACCATTCCTGCATTCCTGGGATGAAGCCTACTTGATCAAGGTGGATGATTTTTTCTGATGTGTTCTTGAATCCGATTTGCTAGTATTTTATTGAGTATTTTTGCATTAATGGTTATGAGGGAAATTGGTCTCTAGTTCTCTTTCTTAGTTGTGTCTTTGTGTGGATTGGGTACCAAGGTAATTGTAGCCTTGTAAAAAGAGTTTGGCGGTGAGCCTCCCGCTTCTATTGTGTGGCACACTTTGAGGAGTATTGGAATTAGCTCTTCTTTGAGTTTCTGGTAGAATTCTGCATTGAAGCCATCTAGGCCTGGGCTTTTTTTGTTTGGGAGACTTTTGATGATTTCTTCTATTTAATTGAGGGTTATAGGTCTGTTTAGATTGTTTGTCTGTTCTTGATTTAGCTTTTGATAAGTGATATCTATCCAGGAAATTGTCCATTTCCTTTAAATTTTTGAATTTTGTGGAGTACAGGTTTTCCAAGTATGCCCTGATGATTCTCTGAATTTCCTCAGTGTCTGCTGTTATGTCCCCCTTTTCATTTCTCATTTTGTTAATTACCATGTTCTCTTTCTGTCTTTTGGTTAGTTTGGACAGAGGTTTGTCTATTTTGTTGATTTTCTCAAAGAACCAACTCTTTGTTTCATTGATTCTTTGCAATGTTTTCCTGGGTTTCTACTTGATTGTTTTCAGCCCTCAATTTGATTATTTCCTGGTGTCTACTCCTCCTGGGTGAGTTTACTTCTTTTTGTTCCAGAGCATTCAGTTGTGCTATTAATTCTCTAGTGTGACTGTTCTCCAGTTTCTTCATGTTGGCACTTAGTGCTATGAACTTTCCTCTCAGCACTGTTTGCAGAGTGTCCCATAAGTTTGGATATGCTGTGTCTTCATTCTCATTGAATCCATGAAATCTTTAATTTCTTTTTTATTTCTTCCTTTACCCAGGGATGGTGCAATTGTGCATTGTTCAATTTCCATGCAATTTGTGTTATTGTTGAATTCTAATTTTAATGCATGGTCATCTGATATGATACTGGGGGTTATTCTAACTTTTTGTATCTGTGGAGATTTGCTATGTTTCCTATTATGTGGTCAATTTTAGGAACGGTTCCATGTGGTGCCGAGAAGAAGGTATATCCCTTTGTTTTTGGGTGGAATGTTCTATAGATGTCTGTTAAACCCAGTTGGGTCATAACTTCTATTAGTTCTTCTGTTTCTTTGTTAAGTTTCTGTCTGGAGGTCCTGTCTAGTGGTGAGAGCGGAGTGTTGAAGTCTCCTACTATTAGTGTGTGAGATTTTATGTGCAATTTGTGCTTTAGTAATGTTTCTTTCACCTATATGGGTGCCTTTGTATTTGGGGCGTAGATGTTCAAAATTAAGACTTCATCTTGATTGACTTTTCCTTTGATGAATATGAAATGTCCTTCTTCATCTCTTTTGATTGATTTTAAGTTGAAGTGTAATTTGTTAGATGCTAGGATTCCTCCACCAGCTTGTTTCTTGGGTCTGTTTGATTGGAAAATCTTTTCCCAACCCTTTACTCTTAGCTAACGGAGTTGGTGTGTGCAGGGTGGTGATGGTGGGAGTAAGCCAGTAAGCAGCTCTCCTGCTTGGCCTCTGCTCCCGTTCCTGCCTCCAGGTTTGTGCCTCAGGTTCCCACTTTGGCTTTTCTCAATGGACCGTGACCCTGGATATGTAAGTCAAATAAACCCTTTCCTCCCCAAGTGGCTTTTGTTCAGTGTTCTAGTACATCAATAAAAAGCAGAATAACAATTTCAACAAAGCAGAAGAATACAAAAATCAACACCAACTGGTACTCTATATGCCAGTAACAAGATTCCTAAGAAATAACTCAGGGGGAAAATCCCATTAAAGTAACTAAAAATACAAACACCAGGGGAAATCATAATCAAGGACACCAAAGAGCTTTACAATAAAAACTTGAAGCATAGAAAAAGACATTAGATAATGGAAAGACCTTCTGTGCTCTTGAGAGAATTAGTACTGTGAAATTTGCTGTATCACTAAATC